TCCACACTCATCTTTCTGGAGGCTGATGTGCAGTGGCCGGTGATAAGGTCCAGGCTAAAACGAAATTTTAATTTTGTGCGTAACATTTAAAAGCTTATGCTTACTAGTGGATTAGGAAAGATAATTAATTATGGTGGACCAGTTTATGACTAATATATTGATAGTCAAACGTTATCGGATTATTACAATAAGTTAAAAAAATAAGTTGGAAAAATAATCCACCAACCAGCTGCAGCATTGCCAACAAGGCCTGACTACCCACACTAAGCGTGGAAACTACCAAAAATACCAATTGTCTGCGCGTCATTAGACTTCTAGAACTATGCACGGCTTCGATTTTGAGATAGCGTCGGCTATCGGTCGAGTCAATAAGAGGACCACACTGGGGTTTGAAAGTTGGTCCGAGACTGGCACGCTAAACAGATCAACGAACCCGTATTTCGTCTGCCAGGGGTTACGCATGGGGGTCGAATCGGCTCGGTCAGGGCCAACAGCACAAACGAACACCATAAGACGGATCCGACAATGGCCGCACGAGAAATTTGGCAGGGCGAAGGTCACAACAGCGACATGGAAACCTGGTTTGTTAATGAATCCAAAAGGACGAGCTCAAGGCGCAAACGCAGCGACGACTGATTAGTTATTCTGATGACGTATAGAGGCCTATCTAGCACGCGGATTTGCTGCAAATGTGACGGTCTCGAACCGCAAAGAGATTACTGACAAAGACAAGGGAGGTTAGGGTGTCACTTCTGGCTTATTAGGCGTCATCAGCCAGTTGTGACAAATCCCGGCTTTTAGAACAACTGAGGACCGGGAGCATGCGTTTTGAGAAGCAAGTCCAGAACTGCGACTATTTCTATACAGATCCATTACTCTATCGGTTTCGCTTGCGTAAATTAACTGCCATAGCATACATGATTTTGTCGGTGAGCTCATTCTCAAATACTACTAGTGTTCGAGGGTTCAGGTGCGGGATTATAGATTGAGCCCATGGGCCTGACGTGAGATCTCGAGCGAACCTTCGACGCAAACAGACATCACGCTTTCATGACAGTTAACCTATTGTTGGCTGGACAGTTGTATTTCATTCTATATGAGTAAAGTTCGCCAAAATAGTTCAAAAAGTCCTTTAGCTGCCCAAACTAAATTGTTGCTGTACTCTATGCTGAAATAGTTCTCTTTCCAGGGCTCTTTTGGGTACTAACGAATGGATTTTGCCTAACCCTAACTCTAAGTATAAATGCTTTATAGAGCTAGCTCTAGTATGTGCTATAGCAGATATTTTGCAACAAAAATAAAGTAGTTCAAAACGTGTAGAGTAATTAAGACCGATCCTATGACTGGAGCAATATAATAAAACGAATTGAATGTGAGGTATATCGCATATACCCGCAAAGAAGAACCTGTCCTTTAACAAACAATTTCGGTGTGATCGGCTTAAGTGCAGTGTAGTAAAATAATATACATTACCTATAGTTAGGATAAAGTAGACATTCCAGCCGATATAACGCACCATTTAGCATTTTTCACAATAAAAATTTATTTTCTAGGCATACCTAATGAATAAAAAACATGAGAGACTACTTGTGCCATTATGATTGTCTGCAGATCAAGCCTCCAGACACAAAACGAAATGGCAACCTTGTCTTTATTAAAGTACGCCCCGATATATTTTGCAAGTATTACGTATCAACGAAAAGCTGAAAAACCATTAAACTCTTGCCGTGAATAACGTATCCGTGAGAAAACAAGGAAATCTGAATATCAATTTTCGGAAAGCGATTCAGATATACGACACTACGGAAGATACTGTTAAAACAGAGTTAGGGCAACATTTTGTGATTATTTTAGAGGAGAGAAGCTAATGAGTCTGATGCCATTGAAAGAACGAACCCTCCTTCTCACACCCTAATAGCAATGTTCTGGTACCACAGGATAGAATGGTTCCGGTTGGACCAAAGGATAGAGGCGAATAGGCCTCTGTAGCTTTTGGCACTAGTGTGCCGTGATTGCGTATATGGGCGGTAGTCCGTGCGTTGGCTGGGCAAAGTTACAAGCCATCATCGAAATCGATGATCGAACACACACACAAGCCCCCCCCCTCACCTAAGAAAAATCCTATGCGCACGCATGCCTCCTACTTTTGC